GAATCACAATTTACAGAGTACAGGGGAATAGCAACGTCAAGGCAGTGATGCTACCCCTCGGCAGCGTGACAATGCAGGAAATGGCGTGCGACAGCTTACCCGGGCATTTTAGCACAACACCCGATCGATTTTCTAATAGCTCTTCGCGCACACATTTTGCGCCAGCGAGTAGCCTGGCAACCGATAAAATTCAGACACGAAGAAAATTTAGAGACTGGATACGTAGACTTCTTGCTATAAGGGCTTTTCCTTCCACTGATATCACAGAGCATCCCCTGTTCTATTCATCATTGCTTCTCAAAGAAGTAAAAAAAGGTACACTACGTTTTTTATCATCATTTCATTGCTTTCTTTATTGTTGGTTGTCCATTCCTATATATGTCTATGTGCATGAGGTAATAAATGCGCGTTTTGTTACTATGTTTTGCGCCCCATCATATCATACTTTCGAACCTTTAATAAGGATTCCATTTCTTGACTTGGCCTGCAATGTCTTGTTGGTCTACAGCTCTCCTATATATTTCCGGAAAGGGAAATTTGCAACATTTAGTGCGACTTCTAAGTATTCAATGCTTCCCTGATAGCTACGTTTTGCCCCAGGCTATTTTCCAATTACGCCTTTTTTATTCAACTGAGTTTCATCTGGATAGGCAAACTAAGAAGACCTGCGAAAAAAAAGGCACCCTTAATTAACGAACTTGAGGCCATCCCTCGTAGTGGAATATTGCCGCCTTTTCAAATTTTCCTCGGATTTTCGTTGCCGGCATGGTTGAGAAAGAAATCAAGCGTATGCCTAACTGTGTTGTGGTAATGTTCACACACTTTACGCTAGAGTTTCAATTTAGGTTCCCGACAATTATCAGTCATATAATATTTCAGATTTTTGCGTAAGTCCTAAGTATGAGAACTATGTCGACCGTTTAATGTTACCAAATGGCTTGATCAAGGACCGGTGAGTTACACAACTGATATATTGAGCACTGCCTAGTATCGAAAAAGTCGCAATACAGATCATTGAGAGCTTCGAAAATGACAACGCACAGTCTATTTCCATGATTTGCGTGCTAAAGGGTGGCTTCAAGTTCTTTGCTGACCTGATTGATGCCCTTGAACGGACTATCAGGGCCCGGGGCACATCGATCCCCATTGCTACAGACTTTGTTAGAGTCAAGAGTTATGTTGTAAGTTTTGATCCTTTATGTGCACGTGCTTCAGAACGCCCAATCCGGTCCATCTGTTTACCTATCCGGTGTCGAAAACGTGGAAAGCTATCGGGGAAAAGTTCGATTTAATATATTATCCGAATTTACTTAGGATATACTTATCGTTGAAGACATCGTGGATACTGGCCGGACTATGAGTAACCTGAACAAGTACCTCCGTACATTGAATGCAAGAAGTGTTCGCGTCGTAAGGTTAGCTAATCTTGTGAAATCTCGCTCGTTTTTTATTTAAGTGGTTACCTGTCCATCCATATCCTTCCCTCCCCTAATAGAAAAACGTTAGCGCCGTCGCGCTACTTCGCGTGCACGTAATTAGCCCCCCCACTTGCACTTGTCACGGTGTCAAGCTTATGTCTGCATAGACTAGATCCAACTTGGCCCAGATTTCGACTGCGGGATGCCTGCACCAGCTAGAGGGAGGGGTGGTATCCCCCTGTCACAGGTGGTGACGCCGACTAGGAACGCTTTTCGCATGTCGCCTGGGGGCACATCTATGCGTGTGCGCAACGCAGGGACAGAATAGCGCGACGGCGCTAGTGTTTTTCTATCAGGGTCTCCCTTCTTTACTGCGCAGGATTTTACTCAAACCCCAGTTTTATGTCTATTCGTGTGTAGTCCCTTGGCACTACATTTTGTTGCGATTGCGTAAATTTACCACCGTATATAACAGACGAATTTGTACCCTGTTTTTCACGTCTTGCCACAGTGAGGCTTCAGAACCCTCGAATTTTGAGCGGACTTGTCGTAGTTTCGACTGATGACTTTGAAATAATTGTTCTTGTCTGGTCTTCTGAGATCATTTTATTCCAGAGATTCTTTAGGATTGTTTACTAATCTGAATAACTAGTTGATACTGCACATGGGCTAACGGATACTCAATGATTTTACTAAGTAAATTAGAAAAAGAAACTTTCTGGCCGCTCTTTGCAAAGGTTACTGGAGCTTCTTCCGTTAAATTAATAGAGCGCTATCTGAAACCTTTGCGAAAGCAGGGATGGGACGCGTGAAATCAGGTTCTGGATTCTGGTGAGATGAACAACGATTTATTTCTTAGACCAAACCACTATATTCTCCATTTGAATGTGCTTTCTGGGTGAATTTAGTGTAGTCACTTGATTATCTAAATAAAGAATCCAAGCAAATATATTATCTGATTCGGAAGCTGTTTCGTTTTGGTTTATTTATGGTCCACATTGTTCTAGCCTAACAAAATTCTGGCCTGGTAATATTTTCCTTATTGACGAATGTAACTTTGACTTTTTGGGCCGACCTTTAGCCTTCTCAACTAGACTATTTACCGTGTCTGGATTTCTCGTACCAGTCTGTAGATTCTGCTTTGTATGCGGCCGAATGTTATTTATCGGTTCTTTGTTGAAATTAAGGGTGCCGGATTTTTCAGTGGTTATTTGAGGTTTAGTACGCGAGAAGGAACCATCAGAGCGTCGTACAGAGCTCAATGGAGTTTGGGCTTCGATTGCTTTTGCCTGGACTCACGCACACAGGTGCAGTACTTTTTATCAGCCAAGCGTCGATCAAAGCCAGACTGGTCATCATCTAAATTCCCAACCTCCGGTGTAGTTTTACGCACCCAGGTGCCGGCGACTTCTTGATAGGCAAACATTCTAGGCTAAAGCCATAACTTCCCCATAAGGAGATTCTGCCCTCTTTTGTCGACGCAAAGACCGGACCACTATATCGCCGTGTTTTGCGCCCACAGGACCCCGCAATTTTATTAAGAAATTTAGCTTGGGAAGGCACTGTTTGACGTTGACGGATTCCGCTGCCGCTTCTTAGATAATTTATACAGTCGCGGACTGTTCTAAACTCTAACTCTAGAATACGGGGTATCAAAAAGCCTGATTGTATATGCTCAAATTATGTCTAATCATTTGAAGTCTACACAAAATAGT